TTGGTTTCCGGATATGAGAAGGAAGGTTGCAGATCACATTGATAATTGCCTTGCATGCTCAATGTCCAACGCTTCTTCTCATACTAAGGAAAGTGAAATGCAGTTAGAACCGCTGTCGAAGGACCCTCTTAAAATTTTGTACATTGATTATTTTGGGCCATTCCAACAAACAGTGGATGGTTACCGACACATTTTCGTAATCGTAGATTCTTTTACGCGTTTCACGTGGCTTTTCCCGATAAAGCCCAAGAATACTAAAGAGGTAACTCTACTCTTGAAAATTTTTTTTGATGTTTTTGGTCCGCCTTCGGAAATAGTCTCTGACAAAAGAACTGCTTTCACCTCTTCCAATTTTCGATCATTCGTTGACGTCCAGTCAATTAAACACCGACTTGTTAACGCAGCATCATTGTGGGCGAACGAATTAATCGAAAGAGTTAATCGTTTTTTAATATTATCATTAAAGAAACTAGTGGATTATCCGGAAGGTTGGAAAGCCTGTCTTACCAAGGTGCAATATGTCTTAAACAATACTTATCATTTAAGCATTAAGAATTCTCCGTCCAAATTATTACTTGGCTATGATCACCTCCATGATCATACAGATAAGGCTCTTTCAGATCTGATTGATAATTTAGCTGCTATAGATAAAGATCTAGAAGCTAATAGATGTTCAAATCGCGACATTGCAGTAAAAACTACTAAGAAATTAAAAAATTATAATAAAGATTACGATAAAGGACATATCACACCCTCTCAATATAAGAAAGGCGAGTACGTTATGATTAAGAAACTGTACACGGAACCAGGTCAAAGTACAGAAGAACCCGAGTCGGCTTATAAAGGTCCCTTTGAAATTACGAAAGTCTTAAATAATAATCGATATCTGGTGTCAGCTATACCAGGTTTTAATTTATCTCAAAAATCTTACAAAGCAATTCTTACATCTGACAAAATTAAATCCTGGATTCGCCCGATGTAATTATAGGATTTCTAGGTGCAATTAATTAAGTACTGTTATAGTTTATAAGAAAACGAAATGTACAGTTATTTTTATTTTACAAGACTTATATTTTTGTAATGTTAATAATTCTCTTTCTTTTTCTAGTGTTAAATGTACATGTTAAAAGGAGTCATTCGAGGACAAATGCTTTGGCAGAATGGCCGAACTGTAAGAATTAACTGTAAGAATTAATCGAAAAAAAGTTAAAAAATTTTTTAACATTCTTTCGATTTTAGTATAAGATCCACTGCACCACCTCCTAATTTTGCGTCTACTTTAATCCTGTAAAAGGATTTTTTATTCCTTTCAGTCAAGATTTTTCTGTTCGAAGATTTTTATACGACTGTAATGTGATAATTTGGTCACTCCAGCATCCCTTAATCATTTCATCCTTGTCGTTTATCAAATATTAAATAAGGATAAACGATGCTCGCGAGCGTTGCGAGCGTTAAGTAGAAAGCAGCCTTACAAGCCTCAAAAACATAACGCTTGTGCCTGCGATGAAGCCCGAACTCCGATGAGATCGCTGTTTTTTTACACCGATAAAATGCGACACATCGACATATCTTTATATACTATTTCATCAATATCGCACTCGCACATACCCTATAAGCGCATAATATTATTTAATATTAAATAATATTTTAGGCATATTCTCAGAATATTAAATATAACATTTTACTAATATTTTACTAAAATTATATAATATTCCTGAAATATTAATGGATGGTTATATGTCCACTCCTAATAATATTATATGATTATTAAAAGTAACATTTATTTAATGTTACTTTAATATCGTATAAACATTATAAAGTATTATAACAGCATTTACTTTAATTTGTAAAACTGTTACATCTGTTCAGTATAAGTTTAAAAACTAAAATGATTTTTGCTCTCAGTTGTTGAACTGGATACGTACTTAAAATCACTTAAAATGTTTTTTTTAGCACAAGATGCAGCATAGACTGATAAGAACTTTTCGTTACTGGATTGTGAATCTAAATTGCACAAAATTAAAAATAATTAATATTTATTAATATTTTAATAATGTTTCAGGAATATTAAAATATAATACTTAGGTTTATTATATAAGTGGACATATAACCTCTATAGAATACTCCTGTAATATTAAAAAAATATTTATGATATTTTCGAAATATTATAATAACATTATTTTAATTTTTTTAATAATATTCATGTAACATTCTAGGAACATTTTGCGCTTATAGGGTACGTACAAATTTTTTAACTAATTTTTCGTATTAAGTATATGCTAAACCTAATTCTAAGTACTCAACATTGGTTCATGTAGAGTAAAGCAGTGTAATACGCCCCATATTTTATTTTTCTTTAATAAAACATGTTTATAATAAAAATATTTTTTACTTTTATTAAACAAAACAGTGATTAGTTTGGTACATAAAAATTGCACAAATGTTTTATTAAAAATCTAGTTATGAGATGCATTTTTTAAAAGGGCGTATTTCCGTCGGTGCTGTTAAAAATGCTCCAGTTGAACTAGAACAAAAATAAACTTAATAATAAATTTTTTAAATAAAGACAGTAACAAACATCGTTATTTTAAACAAGAAGCATAATAAAATTGAACAAAAGAAATAAAACATGTTTATTACTTCGTGATGGTATTTTATACCTGTCTGCTTGCTTCATTGATATCTAATTTTTTGTTTTTCACTTTAATCATAAAGCATCTTCGAGAGCTTTTGCGCCCCACGAGCATCATCTGGTGGTCTTTCTTTTGTAAGTTTTCGGCATTATCTATGAAAAGAAAAAGTAATAATTAATGTAATGAGGCAAATTTATCTTATAGAAGTGGGGCATTTTTACATTTTCAAGGTAAATATGCCTCACTATAATAGATACTAAACCAGCAAAAACTAATAACAAACAGTGATTATGTATTGTAGATTATGTTTCATAGTATTAACAGAAAATAATTAAATTTTGCAAAAAAAAAAATACTTTTATATACTAACATAAGATACACTTAAAAAAATTTACCGTCATAAGTTCAGTTTTCCTTTGACGAAAATTTTCAATTTTTTCGTATTTTTTTTATGCAAAGCACTTCACGCGTGAATTATCTATGGCTCTGTAAAACACACATTGCCACCTACCGAACAGGTAGGTGGCAGTGTGTGTAGGTATATATAAATTATTCGGAAAAGTTACTATTTCTCTTTTATATACAAATGAATTAAACATATGTTTTATGTTCCAATGTTGAACTTTGTGTTGTCTAAACATATATACATATAGCCGAGAAATTTACACCACATTTTTTAAAAATCAAAAAGATACAAATATTAAGAAAAAGGAAGTCAATAAAAGTCATTTTTAAGTCATCTGAATCAAAATTTTAATTATAACTAAAAAATGACGTAAATTCGGTCAAAATGACGTCAAATTGACATTATTTTGACTTTCCTGTTCTTCTTGGGTTTCTAATGATATAATCTTTGTTGGTTCTACTCTCTGGATTCCTGCTACCTGCTGTAGATTTTAGTTAAAATTTCGTTTTAAACCATATGTCTAGCTCATTTATAGTTGAAGCATGAGCTATTTTGAAGACATTAAAAGTTGTTATGGAAAGAGAATTTCCTTATGTCAATATTTGCACGGATTCAAAGAGCTGCTTAATGGCTCTAGCGGATTGTAGATATAATAAATTCAAACTCTGTCCCTTAATATGGGACATTCAAAACAGAATATATTCAATTAACAAATTCTTTCCAAATATAAATGTCAGATTTACTTGGTGTCCTGCCCATATAGGCATTAAGGATAATGAAATGGTTGATGCTATGGCCAAAGAAGCTGCTATATCGAGCTTAATAATAAGGTGAATTTTAAACAGTGCACATCATATATGTCGAGTACATACGATAAGATTACAGAAAATTTTTATAAGTCTTTCGAAGCGAATGCTGGTTTATATTACATCGAACTATCAGAGTACATAAATTTACAAATTTTTAAAAAACATAAAATGAAAAAAAAGATTTCAGTAAAGCTATATATATGAGTCATTATAGGTTATTGCTATACTAATGCATATTTTTTTAAAATCAATGTCAAAGATGATTCTCTAAATGTGAATGTGGTTTTGATTTCCAAGATATCAATCACATATTATATATGGGCTTGTCCATTATATGAAAACGAAAACAGGGATAGAATGATAAGATTATTAATTGATTTAAAATTATATCCATTTCCTTTAGCGTATATAATAGCAAAGGCAAATATAAAAGCATTAAACTATATAGTTAATTTTCTAAATAATAATATTAAAATTTAAATAGGGGCGGAATCCATAGATGTTGCTTAAGATTCAATCTGGTCTTAAACTAGTGCTTAAGATCGCAATTGATTCATAGATGTTGCTTAAGACCGAATCTGAAACTGAAACTTGGGACCATGCTTAACTAAGGAAAATCTCATTCCATAGTGAAATCTTAAGTACGACTCAAGATTATTATTAATCTCAAGCAATATCTTAAAATGCTACTACGGCTCTAATTGGTTCATGCACTACCCTGGTAGCAAGCTGACGTCAAAATAACGTCTTTTGACGTCAAAATGACGACCTTTGACGTCAAAATGACGTCAAAATGACGTCAAAATGACGTGTGTTGCTACCTGGGTAGCTTAAGACCATCTCGAATCTTGAATATCGTCTATGGATTCCGCCCCTTGTTTAACATTCAGAACAACAATGAACAACAAGGATACTCGAAGGTACTTCGATTGGTACCAGTCGGTACTCAAGTTTTCGAATGCAGCCAGCAGATTGAGGCCCCTGCAGGTACCTTTTCATGTTGACGCTCGACGCTCATTTTCGGCGTCAATATAAATCACGTGATAGAAATTGACGAATATCAAGCGTTAATTTTGATCATGTGACCTACTTTGACGCTGAAAATGAGCGTCGAGCGTCAGCATGAAAAGGCACCTTGAGTGTTGAGAGCTAGTCGTGGCTAGTCGGTCTGTCGGTTGCTGATAGTTGTCTGTGGTAGTCGGGATTGTTGGGAAAATGGCAGCGTTCATGAAGGCCGTGCAGACCAGAACGAGCATGAATGGCATAACAAAATTGTTCACGAATTTGTCTTTGACCTCGAGTGTTATTGAGTCTCCTAAACGTGCATTTCTTCGCAGGTTCGTTTTCCCCTCGAGCTGCGTCATTTATATTTTGTGACATTTCGTTCAATCTACCGGTACCTCCACAATGCATATTTGTAGTTTTTTCTTAGTTTAAAAGAATATTAAAAATATTTTCGCCATCTAATGTAAATATTTAATTTTTTTAATGTATAAAAACTTTTTGTCAAGTGATTTTTTATCATTTAACATATATAAAATGAGATTGAGGTTATATCACACCCGTGTTAGGTTATATCACATTATACTTAAACGAAATTTTTGTGACACAAATACTTGCAATTCGCGGTCTCGCGTGAAGGAACCACGGTAGTGTCGTTGTATTTGGCTTAGCATCGAGACACTATCGTGTCTCCTGAAACACTGGTATAAATAGACGTGTTTGATGTAAGTTTTGCTTACTCTGCAACTCTCCGGAGCTGATGGTGGGTCTATTGAATCCATTCAATATTTTTTTATGTTGTATTTGCAAATTTGAATTATTATTATTAAAATGAACTTTTTTCATTCTTATACAATTTATTAAGTCATTTTGGTTTCTTGTAATTAGTACTTTTTAATTCATATAAATGGATCTTGCACAAATCCAACTTTAGTAATTATATTACAGTTTCGACATCCAAGGTTAAAAAATAATTAGAATGAAAGTTGAAGATTTTGGATTTTTTATCTTTTAATGCGTTTTCTTTACAAATGCAGCACACCGACTTTGCACTGTGCGTTTATACATCTCACATCAGAACGCCGTGATTTGATGGAATTTTTTGATGATCCAAAAAATTGGGGAAAGAATGAGGTACGAGTTGGTCGGTCTTGGAAAAAGGATGAATTGAGATTGAAGAGCAATTCGGATCTCCACAAATTATGGTGAAATTTACCTATCCTGAGTTGTGTTTATTGAATTTTAGATGCTAATGACTTACAGATTTATATGTATAGGTTTGTCTTATTGAAAGAACGTAATATGCTTATGACTATGGAAGAAGCTTGCAATAATGCAAACGAGATCTTTCCAAATCCTGAACGTTTGAACAAAGTACAAGACAGCATGAGTAACTTGGAGTCGATTGTTCGCGAAAGAAACAGAGCGTATCATTTGCTCGAAACTGGGCAGACAGGAGAACGCCCTGGAAAACTTGTTTATAATTGCTTAGGTATAAGATCTATACCATTTATGTATAATAACTTTCTATGTATACTTAAAGTTAAAAATGTTTGGTCCTAGAAAAATTATAATAGAAATTACATAGATATAGAAAATAACTTCTTTTGTATACCTAAAGTTAAAAAGTTTAGTAGAAAAATTACGATAGAAATTACATAGAAGTTACAATAGAAATTACATAGACAAAGAAAATAAAATAATATTAGCTCTATTATCTCTTTGTAGGTTTAAGGTTTTATTATCAAATGAGACAATATTCTATTCCAAAGTTTGTAAACACGAAATGGTATAAGACACATTTGTTTGGTTTTGGTGGATATGCAACTCGCAAGTTTCTACGCTTGTACAGAGAGCAACTGTGGAACAAGAAACGCAAAGCAAGAACGTACGTAGAAATAGTCTTTGCTATTCGCTTAATACATACACATGCAACATGATATATTTCTCAATTAATTTATTTCCATTAAAAAATTTTTTTCAGACGTAACAAAAATCGTGTTGCAATGTTAATGAGAAAATTCCCGAATATGGATCTTGAAGCTGTGAAAGAACAGTTTCCAGATGTTGACATAGAAAAGACAAAAGCATCCAAAAGAGCAAAAAGCCATACTGTACCTGTGTAGGTGCAATTTCTGTTAATGCAAATTATTAAACGTTTTGAGATACTCGATTGCTAATACAGTATAAAAATATATAAGTTTATGTATGTAATATTTTTTTTAATCATGTCTCTTGAGATTTACATTTCAAAACATTTTAAATTAATTATACAATAATCACATAAGTAGTTTGTATGTAATGTAAAAAGACAAACAAAATATAAATAGTTCGATCAAATTCTTTTTAGATACTTTTATTAATTTTCTATTCATCATAAATCATGTATAGATATAAAAATAATATTCTATCTGGTAAAACTGTTAGTGAATTATATAAATACAATATTAAAAATTATATTATCGAAAACTTTAGAATCTCTTAAATAATGCATGAAATATGTACTCTATAGAGAAAATTGAAAATATGACACATAAATAAAAGAATATAAAATATAAGATTAAAAAATATTTACTATTATATATTATTTGTATAAATTATGAATTTAAAAATGCTTCATTCTCTTCCTTTTTGAAAATGTATTACATTTCCAAATATATAATGTAAAAAGATGAACAAAATAAAAATTATTCAATGAAATTTCTTTTTATATACTTTTATTAATTTTCTATTTATCATAACTTGCATCATAACTTGGTTACGTACGGTGATACAGAATTTTTGTGTGTGAAAGATGTACGGATGTAACATTTAAAACATGCTGGCTGTAACTTGTAGAAAATTTAATTCCGTATACTTTTCACACAGCACTAACATATAAAATCGACTCATCTTCGCGCGGTACTTATTTGTTTAATTTACATAAATCTGACATAGGAATCTCATGAACTTAACAACATTAACATTTATTACTTAACGATGTATCACAATCACGTATGAAGCTACATGAAATAATGCAGAAATCAAATATTTATTCACAAAAATATTTGGAATGCATCTGTTTATGTAGCTTTGGTAACATAAGATTACAACTTAAAAGATCATAACAAATATCTTATGCCCAACGATATTAATGTATGTTATAGGTAATAGTATTATTATGTCACAAATAAAATTTATTTTCATGTACAGCTTTTCTTATATATCGTTTCATGTTGTATTAAGTATATTTAAAACTCACAATAATTTTTGAAGCATAAATTATTTATAATCATTTTGGTATAATCTTTGTGTAACTTTAATTTGTCATTATTTCATAAAACAATTCTTAAAAAATTTTAATATTTGCATGATGCAACATAAGTTGATACAACCTATATTTGAACTAACTTAATAAGTCTAATATTACATTATGTTAAACTAAATTAATACATAATGCATATAATACAATTATTATGCTCACACATTGCACTCGTACATTTATAAAATTAATAGATACGAAATAAAATTTTATCACTTTAAAACTACATATCATAAGGTGATACATAGAAAGTTTTGATACTAAAAGTAAAACTAATTTATAATTATAAATAGCAGTAGGAATGTTAAATTATACATAAATTTCAAAAGCGATTTATAAAGTATTATTATTCTTTGTTAAAGCTGCTTTAAGTGATTCTGAATTTTAAATCATCTCGGACGAGAGATAAATATCTACTTTAATATCAATCGTGCGTATTCAAATGCATACTGGTTCGTCTCTTCAAATATATGTGAATATATAGACATTCATAGTAATCAATAATGTCTCACAGTTATCATTATATTACATTCTCTGCGTATTATTATAAATTAATAATAGCTTATTATGGTGGCTTACACTACAAGAAAGATAATGCACCATTTTGCGATTTCCCTAAATAGTTATCTATACGTTTGAGGCAACTTATATGCAAGGTAATGCTCAATCTCTCATCAACACCGCAATATAGCGAGAATATACTGCACATATATTTGTATCTTGAAATTAGAAATATCACATTATGCCATAAATTAGTCCAAATAAGGACCTCTACGATTCTACTTATAAGCCACAAAATAACACCGATTGTTCTAGTTCCAAGTGACAGATATATGGCACTTAATTTTTGCAACCAGAAGCAAAGATTTGTATTATGTTGTATAAGCGGATAAGTTATATCTCTTTGGCATACGATATATTAGTGTTTGAATTTTGAGATTCATAGTTACCTGGATATTCGCGTGCGTTGTTACGAGAGTTCTGCTTTACGTTCTATTTTACGAGTCTCTTTTATGGCAATATGATAAAATAATTTCTCAAATGACGGTGTATATATTGTCCATCGGTAAATCTTCCATTTATTCTAAAGCTGGTGGCAGCAAGTACCGCCAGGCGTGTTCCAAATCTCTGCTGGCATCCGAGCAACGTCGCTGCAATTTATCCTCCGGTGGAAGTGTTGCCATAGGAAACTCACCCTTAAAAATTGAGAGATTATATTAACACTTGTATTTAATATTACAATTACAAAGTCTGGCCACGAACGATTTTGTCAAAACCTCATAAGAAAGAAATATATATCTACTATATGTCTACTATATATCTTTCTCGTAGGATTTTGACAAAATCATTCATGGCCAGATTCTGTTATAAGGTCTCTAATTATAATATGTTGCTTGCGTTATATCTTACCAAGTTTGCATCGGTCCACAATGTCTCCAAGACTTCTTTAAAAGCACAAAGTTCAGTATAATTTGTGAAGTATATAACCCAATCGCCACTACTTTCATGTACCTCTCGACACGCGAATTCCTACAAATATATGATATATGATAATAAACTCCATTGGCAAATTCCAATTAGCGACAAAACATAGAATTAACAATCTCTATGCATATTCTATTTTTGACTAATATATAATTACCAGAATACACCACGATTGCTGTAGCAACGGCACCCTGAACGTTGCTAGATCCTTGATGGAAGCACACGAGAGCGTTTGACCTCTCTGCGTACCAGGATGAATCTCTTTCATCGCCACTAGGTGTTTCGTGGTCGTGATAAGACTGCAAGGTAACGGCTCTCTTTTTTCCGTACTATCGAATAGACCTGATGCGCTTTGAACGAAGCTCTGTAACCACTCGGAAGCCACGTATTCGTCCGGAGCAGCAAATTGATATGACTTGTTGGGCTTTAACAGTATTTCAAAGGTATGCGGCCGATGAGAATTGGGAATCCTCCTGCATCCTTGGCATAAACCGCCCTTTAATGGTATGGCACGTTTGGGAAGCCGCTGATTCGAATCCGTGAACATATAAACCACTCCACCTTTCAGTACAAAATAGCCGGCCTCCCAAGGATGCGTGGGTGCATTCGGATGTAAGTGTTGGTAAGTATGTGGCCGGAACATCAGATCACCTTCTTTCATCGGCCCACATGGTGTACTAGGCGGTGACATATGTTCGTCTTCCATATAAATAAGGCTGTAATGTTCTATTTTCTCATCCTATAAAGATAATAAAAGAATTAAAAATAGATCTTGCAATATAACACAGATATCGATATATAAAATGTTTATAATTGGAGGAATAATATGAAATAAAGAATATTCTGTACCAATATTTCTTTTTAGAACTTATAATCACTGAAAATAAAAATATAAAATATTCTACCGCGTTAAAATAAATTCTATTTTAATAGAATTTTAATTCTAAATCAAAATAACAAATAAAATTTTTTTAAATGTGACTTTTCGATTGATACATTTCTTTCTAATCTATTTTCAGAGCTTATAAATTTTTCAAGAAACAAAACTTTATCATAATCTCTAAATATAGTGTACGCACTGGATGCACAGCTGTGTCAGTGAGAATTGAATTCCTCAGAATGTGCATATCTTCGTAATTCAATTCTTTAACAGCAGGAAGCCTCGGTTTCGTCGGCGATCGTCTCATGGCCATCTCTAAGTGGCTGATTAATTCTGAGGTAGTTTGCGAGCTGCCGGTGGAGAACAGATATTGCATTTCGCAATCGGCGTTGGAAATTAAAATACTTTGTGCATTTGGGCCGATCTATAAAAAACAAATGTATACTAATTTTAGTGAAATACATGGTACATCAAGATAATTAAGTATGTAAATAAGGTTGTAAATAAAAAAAGATAAATAAGTTAAGAGAAATATAAGTATGATAATTTAAATATTTCTTACCATAATAACATCTAGCTCATTATAAGGAATAACGAATTGATTACTGTAAGAATGGTCCATTTTCGAGCAAGTTAAGTATAGCGTCTTGTCTGTCAATAACGCGATCATCGGCTTGCTTTCGCCGTTTGTCATGTATGAACTTCGCACTTTGTATACTTTATATAGCTCCTCCGTTTTGTCACGATAGATATGTCTCTTGAAAAGTTCACGCAACTTTAGGCTTACTTTCTCACCACTGAATTCCTGCTTCTCGGCAGCCACGTTCTCTTGGATCTCTTTATCGAGATTGTCGTTAAAATCTTTGAATGAATCATAGCTCATCTTAATTCCTTTGATATATAAAGTATTCGCCTTCGGCGGTTTCTTGTTCTTCTTAATTTCGAATTTTCTCTCAGTAATCGATTTCAGAAATCTACTCAGTAACGACGTCTTTGACGGTGCCTGGCGCAAAGGCGGCGCCAGGAGTTTACTGCTACTCTCACCCGTTAGTATCGCCGTCATGTTGCGCTTCTTCGACGGTGAGACCAAGTGTCGACTACTCCTGCGTTCCTCCAGCTCGGATGTTGTTACACTATCCGCATCCGACCAATCATTCGAATTTGCATATTTCTTCGGAGTCAATGATTGCGGCATTTCCAGCTTAGATGGTGGATCTTCAACAATGTTACCGTATGCCTTTTCGACGATATAGGCTTCCTGGGCCTCATTCTCTCCCAATTCTATTTCCATCTTAGGCCTCAGACTCTTGCCCGGATCCTCTTGACCTTCTGGCGCCCCGCGCTCTAATAATGATAAATTACAGTTGCACCTACAATTACGTTGACATGGCATATCAATGCACAGTTTTGACAATTCCTGCTTATCAGCTCCATCACCATCAAATGCACTCGACGATGACGATGAGAAGCAGTCCGAGTAGCAATCCGAGTGCACGTTCCTGCCAACATTTTCATTTTTCTGCATGTACGGCGAATCTCCATGCGCACACCAACTGTACCTGCCTTTCTGAGCGTCCCTCTTTAAAACGGAACTAGGTAGCAAGAAACTCATGGAGAAATCGGCAAAATTCTCGTCATCTTCTAGTTTCATCGTTTTCAGTATGTCTTCGTGAAAGCTGACTCGTTTCTTGCTTTCGCCTCGCTTTTTTTTACGCTGCCTACGTTGTACTATGCCCTCTGAACTGGAGGAAGATAGAATGCTGGCGTCGGTCATATTGATCGTGTTCAGGATCCCGTAAGGTGCATCCATGTTGTCACAGTCAGAGATTGTCATACTCAGCTCTAATAGATTCGTATCATTATTGATTAAATAAGAATTACGAGGATCTATGTTCTTTTTAAAGCTATAGGCAGGACTTTCACTGTAATAAGTGCTTCTCTTACCAAAGTCCTTTACGCCGTTATCAATTTTGTTTGTTTTATCCAGTTTGGTTTCATCCAGACTCTTACTGTAGAAATCGTAGTCTTTAAGAGTCTCTAAACTGGAGCAATTCATTTCATTGTCATCCATTTTTCGCGTTACGTTCTGGTTAACTATATCATTTTTTGTCATCATAACAGTCTGAAATTTAGTAATCGCTGGTGATTGCGTTGGCGTTTTGCCATCCTCACTCGAGTCACTAGATCCAAAATTCTTATTGTCTTCCATACGATTGTTGATAATCGTCTTGTACCTACTATTCCGGTATTTAGGAATATCATCCATTGAATAATCCTCCTGTTAAAGTTGACGAATTCTAATGTATTATTCGGAGAACGTGGAGATTTTTCTGTACAGTTTTGACCAAATCTATATCTTACCTCTTTGTAACTGCTTCCATCAGTTTCATTTGCAATGTCCATGTCACTATCGAATGCGACGCCACTGTCTCCCGGAGAAGCTAGGCTCGATGAAACGCTAGAAGACCTTAGATGCAACGATAAGACTGTTCCCGATGGATTTACGCTCATAGGCCTCTGTGGCATGTAGTTGCAGATATCCAAATATGTCACATCCTGTACAATTTTTATATATAACAATGTTGCTTTATTACACAGTATATCACAATATTATTGACTGCACATTAATCTAAATTCCGATAATTTTATGTAAATATCTTTTTTTTTTTAGTAACATGTTTATAGAAATTTTCCATGAATAAGCAAACTGAGCGATATGTAGTCCATACGAAATAAAGTATGTACTCGCAAATAAAATGATAATCTCTTGCCCCTTGCAGCTCTATATATAACAATCTATCAAACTGCATATACATGTGTGATTCTTGTTATGTGATTGATGTTATTCATTAGTATGATAAGTGTAACCAGGGGGTGATATTGGTATCTGCTTAAGGATAAATAGAATAAAAATTACATGGTGTATTGAACGTTGAACAGAGAAGGAGAAAGTTGATTCGGTTCTTCATAAAAGTGTTATTGCTTGCTAAATGCTTCGTAGACTATTTATAATTTATTATTTATTACATCGATTTAACATACCAATTGCAATGTGAAGGACACGTTTTCCAGACCGGCGAGAAGATTAATCAATTGATTGGTCTTATCAGCATCTCTCACGAGTGCATGTGGAAAGTACTGTTTTTTCAACGTCTTCGTGTCTCGCAATAAACAAGCCAGATAGCTCTCAAAACTGCCTTCGCTTAGAGTATGATAAAGCCATGCTCGACCTGTGTAATATGAACAATTCAAGAATATTAATGAAGAAAATATTAAAATATGTTTATGTTTAGATGCATTTTTATACACAAATAAATATGTACTTTTAAATAAAGATGCATAAAATCTCACAGTTCACAGAAATTTTTTTAAGCTAATTCAATGAAATATAATTATATTTTGCTCATATAATACAAAGCCACGCATTATATGAGAATTTAATAGCAAAGGCACAATCGTTATTTTTAATCTGTTCAACAGCTTTATGATAAGATAGCGCTATTGAGCTATAGTTATATATGTCTATTCAGGTACATTTTAATTCGAGAGTTGAAGAATAGAAAGTGCAGATATAAAGCTATTGTTCAATACATTATTCCTGTGACAAGACTTCAAAGCATACCTTTTCCTATAGAAGTTAGTACACTCTGCAGTGCATGTATGACCACGACTGTGTCCTGGTGACTAAGCTCTCTAGCAGTACCCCAATATCCATGTCTCTCTACACGTAATCCATGGCGCAATGCACGATCCAGCCAATAGACCAACCAGGAATCGCCGTCCAAGACCACGGTACCGTAGAGACTTTGGGCATAGACCTGCTCGAGACATATACATATTACTCTCATTAATACAGAAATGTATGTACAACAAAATAAAAATGTATTAAAGCACAAAGAAATATGACTGAAACGTAATGAATCTCAATGTTTTCAATATACAATGAAATTTAGACACACAAGGTCTTGCTCTTTTCTAGATGAACTAGTTCACACTAATTGTATGCACTTAAAATAAAGATACAAGTTTTAATGCAGTCCAGTGCAATGACAAAAAAACAAGCCTATAGTCTCTTCTTACAAAGGAAACTTTTGACAGTTAAAAGCAGAATTGTTTACACGAAATACGCTTTTATATCATGCTTTTATTTTCGAATGAGCACACCCATTTTTAGCCAACACCATTCGCCTCACTTCTACTGATACGCAAGTGATCCAAAACTGTAGTCAATTCAGATCTGTTCTTTTTAATGACGTTTTGCACGGAGAAGAATAAAATAAGTGCGCGATCAATAATCACGGAGTGAAAAGGACACATGTCAAAAGGAAGCTTCAGATAAAAAGGACAGAGCTTTTATCAGCTGTTCCGTACACAACGCACATCCCGCGCGAGGCTGTCAATGAAATGTCAGCGCAGCCCATTGGTTTCAGTGAAAGTGACTCACTTCTCGGCAACGTCGTGGTCTCGTCGTTACAGACGGAAAAACGCAACCAACAAGGCTTATTGTACGTTTCTTTATCAGAGAAAAATTTTGCGTTTATTTAAAGATACAACGGTGCGACATCGGAAGACTAAGGAATGCTCACACGTTGCGATCGAGCACTCGTCTCTCTGTGTGCAAGCGTTCGATTTGGAGCCGCTGCGTCGCGATTAACTCACGAGCAGGTCGCGACGTCACAACGGTACGCATATATATATATATATATATCTCCTGAACATTACATATGTATACACACATACTCCGAAACAACTTTCCGAGGAGCGCGTGTCGCCTTTTTCGTTTTTCTTTCTTACCTTTTTCTAAAAAGATAATTTAATCTGTAATGATATGTACATCTTCTGTGTGGATACTCCGACTTCTCCCTTTTCACAAAATATGTGAAATGTACGAAAAAGCACGATCAAAACGAAATAAATTTCATCTCCGTTTTGGTTACTTGTAGTCTAGATTTTTTATTCACTTCTTTTTTTCGTGGATCATTGAGTAGCTTTCGACAGATTCTCTGAACAATTTTTTATCTTGTTTTTGTCGCACTTTCTAAAATAACACAAAAATCCATTCATTTCATGTTAAATTTCTACATAAATTTTTAATCAAATCGGAACAGAACTGAATGGGCCCCGAAACGTTCTCAGATTGGAGATGCTGTTGAATGTTACAGAAATAATAAGAGTAATTGCGGTGTGCGTGCGTACCTTATTTCGGGCTGTTCGTCACGACTAAATGATTCATGAGAAAGCCTGTATAAAAACACGACGTGCAACAAGCAGTTATAGCGATACATGCAACGAGTATATGTACATTGAGCAAGACTGGCGTTTTGCAGATCGCTCCTATTTCGAAATCTTGATTTCCGATTCCAGATTCTGACCTATTCTTACCAATACAGATTAACTTTCATCTCGGTTTAATTCACTCGTTATCTTTTTCTAATTCTCAGAACTAGATGAAAATAAGTAGTTTAGTTTAAACAATTGAAATTTAAGTTAATCTATATTGATAAAAAAAACTTAAGGAGAATAATGTCATTTCTAGAAGTTCAGATTAACGTTACCTTAATTTAATTTACACTTTATTTTGTTTTATTCTTAGAACTAGAAAAAGATAAAAATTAGACAAGTTAAACAGAGTTAACTCTTAAGTTAACTCTTAGTACATACGATTCGTGTCTTACGTAATTAAATTTTTTTTCTTTGAAATACTAGAAACACTTGGCTAAGTAATACTTGGTCTATTCTTTCTTTTTTTTAATACACAATTTTATAAATACTTTCTAAAGATGTCAAAGTAGATGTAAGAATTATTTAATAATTTTTGTATACTTGTGTTGAAAATTAACCTGGGACACGAATGCCTCACAGTGTATAATAAAAAACTGGAAAATCATCGTGTATATACATTTTGTCTTGTTTTTGTCGCACTTTCTAAAATAACACAAAAGTCCATTCATTTCATGTTAAATACATATATGATAATACATATATGATTAGGTCAATCATACATATTTCTTTTCTTCAAAAAACTAGGCATATCAATTGATTAGTTATAACATTCATATACAACTTTTTTAAATACACAATTTTATAAATACTTTCTAAAGATGTTAAAGTATATGTCATTTAATTTTTGTATACTTGTGAAAGTGTTGAAAATTAATTTGAAACACAAATGACTCATGGAAGACCAGAAAATTATTGTACGTATTAAGAATTAAACTTAACAAAAATGGATCTGGGTATCAACGACGAAACTTTTTTTCCCTAAGATGAAAAGTGCAAAATTTCTCCATTAACTTCAATGGTAAAAATTTTCACTTTTCACTTTCCATCCCAGGGATAAAGTGATTGATACCTTGACATTCGAAAATTGCAAACCGATATAATTAAACATCAACAAGGTCTGGTCTTGTGCCAAATAAAATAATCTCCACGTTTATCTTCCTGGCGATGGAAATGCGACGACTGGCACTAGGTCAGGAATGACAGACCGGTGCAACGTCGTCGAGTATAGACTTCGATATCATAGTCACGCGAAAGTGTTCTCTATAGCTGTCTCACGACTACGAGACTGACGAGATCATAATTGACGTAATAAGACACACTTCTTGCGTCTATGAGCATCCGAGATCAAACTCGCCGAGATTATACAACAATAATTCCGATTTCTCCACTGTTTTTCTCCACGTAGTGTCCAAGGCGCCCGACTATTATTAACTACATCAGTTCGATCAGCGCTCTTAGGAGGTACCCATGCTTTCAAGAGAAGAAGGGAAAGGCACGTAAGGAGCTGTACGAATCGTTGCACAATTCACGAAGCTTGTGCATCGCATGCGGCAATAGCATAGCGGCAAGCAGGTATGTAGACATATAGAATTATAGAAAGAGACGGCCTTGGCGGACCGGGTGTTCGACGACAATCAGTCGCTCACCAGTTTGACAGCCTTTGTGAGTTCCTGCAGGATCCGGCCCTTGGAGAGGACCTTGTCGGTGCAGAGATCCATGTCCTCGCGGCCTGACGACGGCATCTCGTCGTCACGCGCTCTTACATGATCCACGTCGCACCAACGTAAAAACGGCTCATACGTGCCGCGGAGAACGGTGTCGAGAGTACGACGGAGCAAGCCGGGCCAAGCGGCGGCACCCACGACGCGGATGCTGGTGTCGCACGGCTGACGAGTCGCGCTGCTGTCGTCGACGGCCTCGTCGCTGAACGTGCTCATTGATTTTAGTGGGGCGCAAGTCACCCGCGATTTTCAAGCTGCGACTAACCGGCAGAACGTCCCCGGCGTCTTTATGTCGACGTTCTTCCTCCGCCTCCTCCGCGAATGTCTTCAGCAGCTCAGCCTCTATCTTTTAAGATAAACAGTGGAAACATTCTTCCTCCATTCTGCTTTCATCCTTGCTCTTCTCGTTTTCTTTTCTATTTTCGAATGCTTTTCAAGAATTATCATGTTAAAGGAATATATATAAGCCCTGAAAAATTGAAGAAGATTTTAACATAATTCTTTCTTATGCTCACAAGATGGATTATTTGGACTTACAATTTCTTATATTTTGTTAATGTGATACTTTTGTTTATAAACTTTTATTTATCTTGATAAATAAACTTTTGTTTATCTTGTACTGCGTTTAAATTCTGAATTCATATATATGTTTAAATTTTGTAATATTTTTGTTGGTACTATCAAGTATTATAGATTCTGCATCGATTTGATTTGTTTGTAATTTATTTTTATTCATAAATTTTTACTTAAAACATTAATAAATAATATGCTAAAAATGTGATATTGTTACGCATTTTTATGAAGGAACTACGTAATTACATGTACGTTTACACAATAATTAATCTGTCTCGGTAACATTCGAATAACTTTCAGTAATTATTAATAATCATTCGCGTGTTTTTTTGCTAAAGAAACAGTTTCATTAATTAACGCAATAATTAATCCGACGTCTGTATCAAATAATTAAATAATTTTTGATAATTGTTCATATTTATTTTTACAGTTCTGCAGTTTTAAAAAAAATTATCAAAATGACGAAAGTTCGATTGTGCTTAAAAGTCGAAAGAAAATTAACACGGTTCTTTTTACACATTAAAGATTATTTAGATTTCCAACTTATGATTTACTTATGTAATATTTTTGTTGATTACATGGACCATTACCTTTTTAGTTCAAAGATGCGCTTGAGTTCTGAATTCATCATACATTTAACATTAATATTTGTAATATTTTATTGGTATTGTTGAATAACATATATGAATGCTGCAACGATATAATTTAAGGATTATAATAACGTTGTGGCGAACCAACAACGAATGAATGTTACTCCGTAATTTAAAAAAAAACAATGCTAGATAATATTTACATGTACTTTTTATGAGAGAAATAGCTTCCTTGATTAACGTAATAATTATTCCGACGACCGTATCAAACGATTGGTTTTAATTACATTTATTTCTACAACTTTAAAAAAATTGCCATATCAAAACGACGAAAGTTCGATTGTATTAAAAAATCGAAAGAAAATAAACACCGTTTTTTTTTATATAAATTGCCACATCAAAGCGACGAAAGTTCGATTGTGCTAAAAAATCGAAAGAAAATAAACACTGTTTTTTTTTTATATAGAATGTGTTATTTAAATCTTTAACTTCTTATGTTTTATTTATGTATAATATTTATTGAGTACATATTATATATATATGGACTATTCTTGTGATCTCAAAGGTGCGCTTAGCTTGAGTTCTAAATTTAAATAATTAACATTTATTTATGTTTGCAATATTTCGTTGGTATTATCGAATGCAACGATATAGTATAAGGAATGTTATTCTGTAGTCCGTATTATAATTTACAAAGAAAATTAAAAAACAATACTAGACAAATAATATTTACACGTATTTATTGTGAAACAAAATTTCGTTGATTAACGCAATAATTAATCCTCGGTCACATGAAGTGACCGGATTCATAATCGCTCGTGTTGTTTATTGACGGTTAACTTATAAACTTATCTGCATTTTGCAGGCGACGCTGTTCAGAAATAAAAGACGACGGTTTGTTTTGTTGCTGAAGTTGTCGACGAGAGAGAATCCTGCAATCCGCAGAATTTCGATTAAATTCCGCGAGTTTAATTTTAAGTGCGTCACTTCGATTCAAATGCCAAGGTTAGTTAGACCAAGTTAGACCTGGTTAGACCCTCCATAAAAACTGCAGTAAACACAAGAGAGCCACGAAAAATTTCTATGCTCGCAAAAGAGAGGAATAATTGCAAAAATACAGTAAATTTTCCTTTGAAAAAGATCGCACGACAAAAAGGAAGTTGGAATAGAAAAAGGATGTATTTGTTTTCGTTTCATACCTCAGGTTATTAATTACCTGCGACGATTCTATCGACGGACGTTAAAAGTGACGATTTAAATCGTTCGTTCAATTTTCGCGCTATAGATGGCGCCACGATTCGTATAAATAACGCTGGACGTGACTTGATCATTTTATCAATAAATAAATAGAAACGCTGGAAACAAAATGATTATACATAGAAAATTCGGAGAGAAAAGATCTATATTTTACATTATTTCTTCTTATCTCCTTCTTTTGTTTATTATTTATATTTTATGGTAATTATAAACAAGAGAGGATTCGACGAGGTTGATAGGCCGAAAAAGAATTATGATTTGTTATAAAATTGATCTCGGCAATTTATCAAAATGTGGGAGATGCATGCGATTTACTGTACCGCATTTTCTCGATTCAAATATATTCGGGGGACTCAACGATGAAAAATGTACATTGGTTCATTCGCTGGCGTGATTTATTCGTCTCTATCCGGTGCACACTGTCCCAGCTGGTTTAGTACGTGTTTTTATCGAGTATCAATTTTCAATTTCAGTTTCGATCAGCGGCGACGTTTCTTTTATCTCACATAAGATTATTTCTTCTTCTTTTATCTCCAACGAGAATCTATATAGCTTCATCACAGAGACTGATATAAGAATTATGAGCACAATCATAGACGTAATAAGAATGGACTGCGGATTTCTTATAAAGTGATTGCTTATGTAAAAAAAATCCGGTGACTATTTCCGAATTAACGTTAACATTGGGTTATAAAATATGACTACTGAGTTGATTTGTAGATTTATTGATGAATATTATAGGTAAAAAGTATCGATGCGAATTTAACATCATGCAGTATCTATATTAATTCTCAGTGTGTTGGTGTTAATATTAATACCAATATGATATGAATTTAACATCATGATTGTACCATTAGTATCCATACCATTAGTATGGATTTAGCATTTAACACCATGAGTATTAAATCTACGATGATTATATAAACACTATGGATTATAAATCTACATATTGGTGAATATTAACACCAACACAATGAAAATTATATATATATACATATATTAAACACTGCGTAATGTTAAATCCACGTCGATATTTTTTAAAGTATATTCGCCGGTTCGATTCTTTACAAGAGATATAAAAATTTTATTGTGAGTTTCGAAGAATTAAAATAATATGCTGATGTAAAAAAAAACAAAGTATCAATTGTATAATAGTAGTTAATGTATTAGGCCGAAAGCTGTATTCTTCTTATTTTTCTTGAGAAAGATTGGATAACATTCGCGATATTAATAGTGTCTAAAAGGATTCAAACAAGCATGCTTTTATACATATATATATATATATATGCGTATATTTGCTAGTTTTGAGAGTACATAATACTATTAAAATCGTGGACCGTAAGTTTATATAAATAGATAACAACACTGATTTGTAAAACGACGATTACAAATTTAATTTGTGATGATCTTCTGAGGATCCTGCCTGATCCAGTCCGGTCTTATTCTCGCGAGGGCTGCTCGAATTCGAACGTGGATATTTATCCGAAGTGCATTTGGACTTTGTTTTTGATTTACTTTTGGAGTTTCGTACGCGCCGTACAATCTCCTCGATGCATCTTTGATCCCTCTCGCTAATGTTGAAACTTACACCATTGTTCGCGTATTCTTCGAGCTCTCTGAAATAGTAATAAGCTCCTTAAAGTCGCACAATTGTTACATCGAATATACTTAATTTTAAGTTAGAGTCAGCAAAAAGACTGGCTCGCCAGAAATAGTAAAAAGAAAATTTTAATTAATTCTTAAATTGAAATGAAACTCTAAAATTGAATTCGTCAAATAGAAGTTAAGCTTCGTAAGAAATAAAAGCTCGATTTCAAGCTCTTGTTTTTTTTATTTCAAATCCTTTTATTGATTTCAAGCTGTTCTATTTTTTATGAAGTTTGATTGCTACTTGACAAACTCGACTTGAAAATTTAATGTTTCAATCTAAGGATTAATTAAAAATTTCTTTTTACAATATAAAGTGGAACCAATCATATTAAAGCATCACTAAGATTTAATTGATTAGTTTTCTGTTGAACGCAGTCAATATAAATTAACTTATTAATCTCGGTTCAACTTTCTCTTCATCTTTTTTTAAATTCTTAGAACTAGAAAAGTTGTAGAGTCAATTGAACCGAGATTAAAACTAAACTACATTAGTAAAATTAGGCATTTTCAGAATGTAGTTGTTTTCAGAGTGTCTCTCGAATATATGAAATATATTGTATGGGCCTCTTATTCTGTTTGTTTTCTGTCATAGAGATAAAAAGTTGACGAAAGAGACAAAGAAACGTGATTGTCAATGAAACAGTCGCGAAGAAAAAGGTAAAAAGCAAATAAATAACACAGAAAGTAAAAACACATTGTAGATTTGTAGATTAGCCTTAAAGCGCATGAAAGCGCGCGCGGTTACGTTCAACGCGACCGCGGCAACTTCACGGCAATCGAATCGAAGTGGAATCGCGTCGCGATCATTTCGCTGATCGAAAGAAACGATTTTCCGAGTGTTCCACGTTATTGGCATCGTTCGACGAACGTCGTGAATGGTCGCGAATGCCCCAGGATGCAGAGGATATGAAGAACATGGAGTGTGCGACCGATGGACCGTTGTAACGAATTAATCGAGGCAAGCAGTTTTTGTTCATTCGCGATGATCATCGCACCGACGCGTCCGCCATATTCGCGAGCGTTTTGCGTTGCAAAACTTCGAATCCTTCGCGATGAATTTTTTACGAGTGCGGTTACCGGAACTTTCATTCCTCGCAACCTCGACCGAAAACCCGTGAAAGATATCTTTTGCTTCAACGAAAACGCTAACACGCCGCGTGTATAATAAGCACCAGCATCGCATTTCCCGGCAACTGCAATTTTTAGACGAAAGAGAGAAAGAGACGGATGATGAGTCTACTATGAATAAAATAGATGTGAGGAGCGTTTTTACCTCTGACGTCGGTGCAGCTTCGCAATTAATTTGTTCAGGTATAGCGTTTCTTTCTGTATTATTTTCAGCTCCGATTCTTTTTCCTAAAAATGAAAAGCCACTGATACGAAACAAATTTTCA